AGCAGGAAGCTTGATTTACGCCCGTTAAAGCCATCTAACAGAGAAGGAGAGCTGGCTGAGTGCCAGATAAACAGGCTGCAAATGGATGAGTGCTAGAGCATCAGCGTGAGCAAAGGGACCCACAGTTGGGGTCAGACATTTACATACACCTGGAATAAAAGCATTTGAACAATTCGTTTCCCCTCTGTTCAGTTAGCCCAATTACTTGGTTTTGATGATGTGAAATTTTAGAACATTAGTAGAAACCATTTCTATTTCATCTTTTATTTATTCTGAGAGGCTCACACATTGACATACACTATATTAAAGGTGGCATCGCCCTCAAACTGTAACTCGAACTAAATGCTTGGGGTCACCTCCCACAACACATCCTCTCGTAGAACTCCTGAGTCAGGTGTGTGGCCTCCTGTTTCAGTTCAGCCCAGACACCTTCTACTGGACTGAAGTCAGGGTGTCGTGATGGCCACTCCCAAAGCTTTACGTTGTTGGCCTGAAGCATCTGCTGCCATTTTGGAGCTGTTCGTCGTATCATTGTCCTACTGAAATATCTATTTGTGTCTGAGCTCAAGTTTCTAAATATCCACATATTCCTCTTTCTTCATCAGTTCTATGAGGTGAACCGGTGCAGGAAAACAACAACACTCCATGAAGCTGCCATTCAGAGCTGGGATGGTGTTTGCTGGGTTACAAGCCTGGTCCTTCTTCCTCCATACGTAGTGTTGATCATTACGGACAAATAGTTCTAATCTTGTCTCATCTGACCAGAGCACATTCCTCAAATAGGAAAGATCTTTGTCACAGTCTTGTCTTGCTTTTTTTGTCAGTCCTGGACCAGTGGCCTCCTCCTTGGGGAACAGCCTTTCAGGTTATGACGAATCAGCACTCTCTTTACTGTGGACGTAGATACTCCAAGTTACCTCCAACGCCATCACCAGTTCCTTGACTGCGTCCTGGGATGCTTCTGAACCTTTCACACCAAATACGTTCATCTCAGGGAGTTGGTACAGGCCTGCTTCCTGAGCAATGCGATGGCTGTGTGGTCCTGTGGCATTTACATTTGTGCACTGTACAGGTGAACGTGCTACAGTCAAACGTTTGGACATTTCTCCCAAGGAGAAACCAGACTTGTGGATGGCCACAGTTTTTTTTCCTAACATCTTGGCTGATTTCCTAAACTATTCCCATGATGACAAGCCAAAGGTCACTGTGCCTGGCCCCCACTGACCCCTAACAATGACAATTAGCCAATCTGAAGCTTCTGAAGGCATGACATCGATTTCCAGAAGCTTCTAGGTTGTTTAAAAGACAGTGAACTGGAATTCTGATCATGTGAATTTAAAGTGAAATGAATGTTTCTCTGATCAACTGTGTGAAAATCATTTTGGTTCTGGACAAACTACATACCCTAAGGGACTTTCCAAAAGACATTTATGGTAATGTGAAGTCTCTGGAGTGGTAATTTTGTTTTGTTTTAATGTCTTAAGCATCGGTGTATGTAAATGTCCAACCTCACCGGTACACTTTACACCGATGGCCTGGTTCTTGCTCTGTGGAGACAATGTGTTTCTAACAGAAAGACGAGGAAGAAAGAGCAGACAGGGCCATTTCAGTTGTTTTCCCTCAGTGACCACAGCAGACGCGACCTCCAATAGGATAAGTGTCTCCAACAGTACAGCCTTGATGATCTATCCAGGAGAAACACAGGGACGAGAGCGATTGAGCAGCCTGCCGTCATTACCGCTGCGGCCCCTTGACCTCAATCAGCCGTCACTCACTGCCTGTCTGCAGGCTGCAATAATGATGGCCGAACCTTTGTCACCGCCATAGGAGGAAGCCGAGTTCAGTCCATCACCTGCAGTTATAGATGCAGCCCTGAGGCCATAAACACACCATCTACTGTACTGGACTTGGCTCCAGATCCACTCCACGGGTGGTGCACACAGTAATGTGAGGTTTTTTTTTTGTTTTTTTTTCCAAACCTTATGAAAGGTATGAAAAAAAAAACTAATTCTAATGTTTCAGTAAGTTTTTGAAAATCTAAGTTGAATCTTTGAAACGAGTGTAAACTGTTTGAAAAGCAAAGACTTCAACATTAGGAAGCAGCTTCTTCACACAATCAAATCTAATGTTTAACCCTAATTTTCAGTTTTAAAACCATATTTTTCACATTCAAATTTTATTTTCCTCCTTTGAAATCCTACTTTCAGTGATATTAACAACCTGCCAGAATACATCACTCTTCGATGTGTCTGAAGTACAGAGATAACCACGGCTGTTCAAATCAAGGATGTGACGTTACCTGGACTATTTCCATGATGTCTCTGTCACAGACCAGTTGCCTATTGGCTGGTCCACGTGTCCACACACACACACACACACACACACACAGCGCAGGTTTCCAAGAAACACTGGAGGCACCTTCATTATTCAGGGAAACTAAATGTCACGGAAGAAGCCAATTTTCACTCACAACAAACGATTCAGCGTCCAAGGGAGAATTACTAGGCTGATACCTGAGGATCCAATCAAATCAAACTGATTTATAAGCACAGCAGGCTGACCAGTGTGCTGTGCATCATTTCTGAGGATAACACTTGACACTATACCTGTCAGGTACTGGACAGGACATGACTCAAGTGAAACCGAGCCCACACGGGTCAATGCTGAAAAAACCAGCCCGAATGGCGTTGAGCCAGAGATATTTATCCCCCTCGGTGGTGTTTCAGTCCCCTGATGGCCAACAATGTTCCCTAACGGCTGAGTTGTTATAGCCCAGTATCGGTGAAAGCTGTTCCCTGTCGTTACACAGGTTAATGTTTTTGCAGACAGAAGCAGGAAATGTGAGTGGTCTGCGGTTGTAATTAACACGCTGACACACAAATCTTTGTTCTATCTATTCAGCTGTGTAGAACTGAAGTATCTGAGGTTTACAAAATAAACTGCAGCACCCGCTGCACAGGCTCTCTGCAGCAGGGTTACCAAGAACAGAGCGAGGACACAAGCGGAGTCGACCAGCACTCAGCCTTTCATCTCTGCTGTGCAGACACCAGCCTAACTGTAACCCAACCCCTCTGACGTAGACCTGAGGCTCTGATACCACAACACCCTCCAGGACTGACTCACCTGAGGGCAAAGACTGGGTCACACACAGGAACTGGTTTCATTTTGTTGGGAAATCTAACCTGTATCAAGGCTGGAGTGGAGGAAGCGGTGATTACATGTGTGTGAAACAGGAATGCTAGAAAGTCACACTAATGACCTAGAAACAACACTGATTTTGTTTTGTCCATTGCAGTTTGTGTATGTTGATCACTGACTGGAGACAATACAGGCAGGGGCACAGAGACAATACACTCCTGGTTTGCTGAAACAACTTTCTGCTGTACACTTTCAGATTCATGCTGAATTGAATTAAAGAAAACCCATCTGTTTTACAGTTGTATCTTTCAAAACCCTTTCTGTACTTAATGTACCTTCATCGTACTGAGCACATCTTCCTGCTGTGTTTCTATTAGTGCCCAGAGTGGAAGGTCAGTCAAGAGGCTATTTCACATATGAGCAGCAGCTTACTCATCCTGTGAGCAGACCTGACACCATTAGTCAACGAACACAAATTTAATCTGCATAGGGCCGAATGATTAATCATTTTGTGAGCGTGATTTAGATCCCTGTGCGATCTCGGTATCACGTGACAATGATGGTGGTGTGTTGGCGTTAGTAGGGAGACACCTTGCATTAAACCAAGCGCTCCCTTTTCCTTGCTAAGCTGCGTTAACCAATAGCAGGAACGTGTTGCATCAAGTGACAAGCTGTAGACAGGAAGAGAAAACCGGATCACAAACAAATCCAACACGTTTGACACTGTGAAAGCTATTCTGTGCCGTCCTGCAACAGTTTTTCAAATGCTGCGCTGCCTGCTCCGTACACCTAGCACCAGGTTATTGGTTAACGCAGCTTTCCAAGGAAAAGGGAGAACTTGGTTTGATGCAAAGGAATTTATCAATTTATCATGCAGCCCTAGATCTGCAGCTGTTTTGATAGGCGGTCACTTCGGTTCCTGCTTCTTCACTACAAAGACTTGCGGCTTTTCTCCACTTTGTTGTTTGTAAAGGGAATATTTCTGAGCTCCAGACAGACAAAGCATGTGAAGACATCAGCGTTGTCTCTGGGAACTTCTGATGGATGCTTCATCAAGTAAATGATTAATGGACTGGATGGATGTTTAAATGGAAATGGATATTTATGATCAAGCTAACTGTTAGTTGCAGCAGCCCTAATGAGAGGCACTATCAACCTGTGTATAACGTCTTCTGCTACTATAGGGACCTTTCTACAGTCTGAGTGAATAACCCTGATAATAAATTTTTGTAGCTGGTGATGTGTTCAAGGCCTTTGGGAGTTCAGTAATTACCAGGCTCTGACATGGAATACTGTTCACATCAACATCCTGGTCAAAATTAAGACTTCCATTCCATATGAGTGTGGCATTTTAACAGAACGACCTGAGTGTTTACCGGGTTTGGATGGTTTAACAACCATAAGTGCATTAGGGAACTGCAGGAGCTCGCATTTTTAGGACTTGGCTCATACTAGGAAGCTAAATTCAGGGTCTGTATCTCAGCTTATATCATATGAATTGCTTTTAATCTCTTTTGCAAACACCCAACTTTATGTAGAACAGCACGAAATGAAAGGCCCCTTATTAAGACCACACCTCATCAGACATCAACAGGACAGTCCATCACAGTCACCCTCCCACCTACAGGTATCAACAAGAGCCAGTGAGCAGAGACGGCAAGTCAGTTTTCCTCACTGCACCTCCACATGCACATGCCAACTTCTAATGTGCACATCAACCCAGCAGCTTTAACAAGGCGATGAAAAAGTTGTGAAACTCACTCACTTGTAGCTCGTTGTTGGCCATGTTGTGCTGCAGGGAGCCAATTAGACGGCGACTCCAGGTGACTTGTGTTAATGTCTGTCTCACTTCACAGCGGTCGGGTCATTGGAGAAATTACAGCTGAAGTCCTCTGGTTGTTAAATACAAACATGTACGTCCTGTAAAATAGAGTAGAGTAGGTACTTTATTGATCCCACAGTGGGAAAATCTGTTACAGCAGCAATAGAGAACAACCAACAAAACACCATAAGAACAGAACTTCACAAAAAGAAAATACAAAACACTCAGCAGCCCCATCAAGGTGCAGTCTGATGTGCTGATTTGCATAAGTATGTGAATAAAATGTTAACATGGTGACGAGAGAGGAGCAGGTGAGAGAGGAGGAGACCATCACCTCCTGGCAGCCGCAGATCAACTCCTGGACTCGGATCTGCATCACGCAGTGCTGCGTGTCCTGCAGCAGCGTGACAACGACCGCTGCAGCGGAGTGTTCTCATCCTCAAGGAGAAGAGCACCGTGGGGAAACCGGCCAGGATTCACCGCCGCCGCACTCTGCTCCGTTTCTTACAGGACACCGAGGTCATCTTCCCCGTGGTGGCGCACTCCTACGCGGCTCTGTGAAAGGCTGAGAGCCGGCCAGTGCTGCTACTGAAGGGAACGAACTTCAAAATAAAACACGCGAGTTCCGACTCTACTCTTCAAAATAAAACTCGCGGCGGCGGAAGCATTTTACTGACGGTAACGCAGCACAAATACGCCAAATTTAGTGACGGGAATTTCGGATCATTTTACTGATTCGGTTCTTTGAATCTCGTTCAGCAAAATGAACGAATCTTTTTTCCGAGTCATTTCGTTCACTTCAGCAGAATGTAATTAAAATGTTATTTGTTAATTCCCCATCTACTTACGCACATATTGATCACGTTTCCAATAAGAAAGAACTGTAATGCAGCCAAGGTCATATTATAAGTAATATCGTACCTGTGTCTTGAGGCCATGCAGTCTGTTACGTCATCACCTCACCTCCGGATATTTTGGGTCAAATTCGTTTGGTCTTTTGTCACGTAACATCCTAAGCTAAGCTAAGCTATGCTATGCTATGCTATGCCGTCTTCTGTATAGTATACAGAAAGATTCTCCCTGATGAAGTTTATTAACCAACTCTTTATTAAAACATTCAGTGTTATGGAAAAGAACCATATTGACAGATATTCACAAAATTATAGTCTGTAGGAAATAAAAAGCTAATTTATAATAAAAATAAATGCATCACGTAACAATAAGAGTAAAAAAAACTTTAAGGACGACTGAAAATTAACTAATTTCTGTATCCAGCAAAGCGGTCATGTCACGTTACAAAAACGAACAACTCAAAAGGTGGACTAAGCTTATGCGATGTTGAGCATGTGGGGTCAACGTTCTACATGACCGCTTTGCCAGTAATACGATGCGATGTTGCGCATGCGCGGTCAACACAAACTGAACGAATCACTCCCCGAGACGACCCGATGTTCTCGAGTCATGGGAAAGATTCGTTCAAAATGAAAGAATCGTTCGTGAACGACACGTCATTACCACATTATCGTGAAGCTAATGTCGGAGTTTTAGCACTCAGCTCTGTGGGAACAAACAGTCGTTTTAACTCTGAGCTAAATGTTCGTTATCAAGATACGCAGTGCAGAGTTTAGTTAAAGCTTGCTAACGTTGAACTAACGACTAATCCGAACAACTCTAATGCATCTAGCGAAATAGATAACTGAACGTTCGCCGTCAAAATAGTGTTCTAACGCTGAGCTAAATGTTCGTTATCAAGACACGCAATGCAGAGTTTAGTTAAAGCTTGCTAACGTTGAACTAACGACTAATCCGAACAACTCTAATGCATCTAGCGAAATAGATAACTGAACGTTCGCCGTCAAAATAGCAAAGTCCGCGATATTATGTGCAAATTACAACAGATGTCTAGTGGCCAACATACTCACAGGAGCTGTGTTATTGGAAAATATACACAAAACATTGTACTCTGCAAAAACTATTTACCTAACCTGTTGAAAGTATTTGAGATTATTATACGACAGAGAAACAACATGGCGGCAGACTGGGGACAGGGGCCCGCTACACCGAGCTTAAGGTTTGCAAGATCCCAAAGATTGGTAGTAGACTCTGGGGAAAATTTGTTTTCCCGTAAACATGTTTATTTACCTTAATCTGAACGTAACCTAACCGTTTCCGTTGACCCTAGATTTACCCCAGGAACCCAACCATCCCCTATGTATCTCGGACTACTTCCAAGTATTGGATTCCAACGTTTAGCATCCTCTTATGTCACATAGAGAGACCAGTCCAAATGTGAAAATTAACTCATTCAAATAGGCAGTTAAGTTACTAATAAACAAAATGAAATTCACTTAATGGAAACTACAACCATTGGGTTAACTTTGGTAGAAGGCCACACTTTCACGTGGAGAGGTTTAAATGAGTGGGTCCTCCACTGTTTACCGGATTTGAGGCTGGAGTCCCATCTCCACCAGTGTTCTCAGGCAAGATACTATGTAAATGGGTGTTTGTCCGGGAGTTCGGCCATTGCTTGTGCTCCCACTGAAAAACGAACTTTATTTTGAAACCAACACGTGTTCCGGTGCCGTTACTGTGGCCCTCTGTATGCAGCTTGACCAGCTGCATTGGTGCAGATTTCTGCGGCAGCCGAGCGCCCTCCTGCTTAATCTGTCACCTGTTGGTCACATGACAGTAGATGATACTGAGCTGTATTTCCAGTTTGAATAGAGACTTACAGTGTATTCATGTTTCTGAAGACATTTAATAGGTTTTTAAGTCCCACAGTGTAAGCTCAGTGCAGGTATTATGGAAGTGCACGTATTTCAGTGAATATGCTGATTCTGCAGGGCATGGCCAGATGAACTCACACACGGGACCGTGAGCTAAAATAAGTTGTGGGCCCCCTACATGAGTAAAATTAGTAGAATGCCCTTTACATTGTCATAAAGCAAGGTGTTGTGTTCAAGAGCACTTTACTGTGAAGTGTGCATTAAAGGTTTGACATACAGCATGACTACAACAAAAGCACAAAAAGGTTTCAGGCATTTTATTCCATATTTGGAGCAGTGACTTCACATTTCATACTGAAAATGAATCGACAGCTGGTATAACACCACCACAAAGTGTCTGCAATAAAAGTAAGATAGTGACACACACGATACTAAGGATATAAACACTTAGTAGTCAGTTTAATAGGAACACCTGCCTCAACAGCCCTGCAATAAATTGTCCTTCCTCAAAGTGACAATGCTCAGTTTGTGTTCGAGAGAGAGGTATCTATGATATTTAGCCTAACCTCACTGATATCAGTGGGGTGGACAAAATAATTAACACAGTACAAACTGCAGCCTCCACAGCAATCACATAGGTGAACCAACACCTCTGGGAAACAGGGTGAACACAAAGTGAACCTTACCACGTTCATGAACGAGGATTCACTGCAGGACTGTTGGATTAGACTGAGGTGTTCCTAAAAAACAGACCACTTTATAATAAATCTATATATGAGAGCTTGAGGCATTATAATGAAACCATAGGTGCACACACAGAGATCCATTCTCAAGAATGCATGCATCTTTACTGTTAGTTGTGTTTGTACGAGGTTGTTCATTAATGAGTGTGCTACAGCAGCTGTGCGACGTTTACACAGACATCACTAGAAGGAACATGCACAGCAGAGCGGCAGTGTAAATGACTGAGAAAACTTTATGTACATGCTGCTTTCAAATGTTACTTAGAGGTTCTTGTAACTCTTCACTCATTTAAAATGTGTATTTTACTTAGAGAAGCAGAACATACAAATCAGGGGCATCAGATTATAGGTCTGGGTAGAAAAGCAAGACGTAATGGTTGATGGTAGGTCGACATCACAGGGCTGCACTTTGCACTGAGGCCTGGGTTAGTGTTTCAGTCATGCAACCAACAGGTGGCGCTGTTGACCTTCTATAGTCTCAGACTGACCTCACCCACCTTGTACAGACACAAAGAGCGACTCCAGACATTTTAAGGATTATTGATAGAAAAGGACAGGATCAGTTGTGGAGACCTGATGTTTGTTCACTACCGCACAAATCACACAGTGAAAAATACAACACAAGGAAATGTGTACAAACTCATCATTAACATATTTAGTATTAAGCTACTTGACCCCCCCCACCCCCACCCCCAATGGCTGCTTATCCAGCGTGGCACTTGCCTCGTGTTAGACCTCCTCCTTTCTCTCCCAGCGTGACCTCGGAGACTCCCTGAATACCGGCAGACCCAGGAAATGAGGTTACAACTTTGGAATGTGAGAGAAAACAACTACACCCCCAACCAGCACCCTCACCCCCACCAGTCTGACACCCTCCCCTCACTGCAGAACAAGGAGGACCTTCTTTTTTCTTCACCCCCCTCTTCCTCTATGACTGACGGCTCTGTTAAGTCCTTGAAAACCTGGTTGTCAGTGAAGTCACAGTAACCTTTACTGAGCAGTCTGGTGGGGTGGGCAGGGGGCTCACATCACAGCATCATCTCCCCACCAAGTCTTAATGATGCCAGGCACACAAAAGACAGTCTCAGACATGTTTTCACGCTGTTCACCAGGAGGTGGATATATTCACAGCACAGCCACTTACCTGTTTAAACACTGACCCACACAATAAAAAAAGCCCAGTCCCTCCTCTGAGTGGGAGACCAGCATTTGGGCTCTGGTTACAAGAGCCCAAATGTACAAGAGCCTACCCAGCATAGCGCTGCCCCAAACAACACAGCTGTTTCTAAAGTGTGTCTTCTGGTAAGGAAACGTGCAGAGAGCGTTGTCTGCCAACAGGAACCATTAACACAGTTCATCTGCAGCCTCCTCTAGGGTGCTGATGTGAGGTCAACTACAAATTTGCATGGTCACATGATCCTTGCTCCCCCTGTATGGCTTGTATGCACTGCGCGATACATTTAACAGTGTTCTTCTAAACTACACATAGAAACCTTCCAGTAAGTTTTGGTCTCAGGGTGGAGCGTTTTAAAGGAACAGTTCATAATTTTTGGAAATACACTTCTGTTGGAGAGTTAGATGAGCAATTTGATCCCTGCTGTAGAGCATGTTTCTGAATCTGTACTGTACAAATGATGATTTGGGGTTTTATTTACTGCTTCTTGCCCAGGAAAACACAATGAATGCACTAAAACAGCCAACACTCCTTTTTGCCCTCTGGGTGTGTACAGTCTAGACACACTACTGTATGGACTAATGAGCTTTAGAGGTGGTGGTAGGTGGGGTTTGCTCCTTTTGGACAGAGCCAGGCTAGCAGGTTAGCTAAGCTAACCACTGCAGGTTGGAGAGTGGTGTCAGTCTTCACATCAAACTCTCCAGAAGCAATCGAACATTTCCTGAAGTATGACATCATCCCTTTGATTGATTGACTTGGTCCCTGGCTGATCTTCAGTGCTGGGTCTCCACCTCCACCACAGTCCAGTCTCCAGGCGGGGAGCTGCCTCGTCTGTCTGGGGAGTAGCTGCTGACGGAGGTGACTGTAGCATCAGGAGGGCTGAACTGTGGGAGCAGGTTGGACCACATGCTGCTCCTCAGGGGGGTCAGGGTGCCCCCTGTCCCAACAGGGAGGAGGAGGAGAGGAGGGCAGCCCTCATCTCCAGCCAGCATCAAGGTCTGATTGATGAGCTGCTGCACCATGTCCACATTCTTGTTCCATCCCAGTTCCGGTGGAGGAGCTGGGTGCAGCTGCCTGTGGGAGCCCTGTGTGGCCCTCCTCCCTCCCACCTGTGTGTTTCTGTTCTGTTTTCTTCGGGCCTCATCCTCCTCGTCGCTGCTCTCCGTGGCTTCATAGATGGTACAGAGCCCCGAGGATGGAGAAATCATGACCCCACTCAGGCTCCTCCTCAGCTGCTGCTGCATGCGGTACTGCTGCTCCAGCTCCAGCTGCCACTGCAGAACCTGTCTGCGGTGCCCGTGCTCCCGCTGGTGCC